ATATATATATATATATATATATATATCAATTCCAGACGAACACAACGGCAACAGTCTCAACAACAACAACGTCATCGATGATGAGTGTTTTACCTGGTATATCAAATCTAGTCAAAGGCTTAGGCTTATTCAGTGAAGCGACACAAGTGGTTTGTTTAGTGATGTTAATCGTATCGCAACAACGCTTCTTCTGTTCATTATTTACTCAAATTATGATAAATTTTAGAATATTGCGTTCAAATCATTTGAAACTTGATTCAAAAAGTAGAATGATTGATTAATAATTGCAGTCATCAAGCGCCGCATTGAACAAATTTTCCGAGCGTTCTGGAAGAGGTAATTGGAAAGAAGCGAAAAACGAGATGCTGAACACGTTTCCATACGTTCTTGCGACTATTTGTGATGTGTGGACTTTAGTGCGCAAAGGAAAAGAACCATCGTTACCGATTGGAAACGATGAGGTGAGTACATCTAGAGTAGTGCTTCTCTTGGGCACGAGTATAATAAATGAGCATTTGCTAGATTATCGTCGATTTTTCATACTTCTCTCGTGATTGTTCAATAGTATTTTCTAATGATCTGTCATATGGCCGAGAGAGACATGCGGCGCCAGAGCATGATGAAAACTATTGATTTAGGATTCCGTTTAGTATTTCTTTTTGCATCGCCATTTGATTATGTCATCATCAATCATTTCAAACGTTGAATCATTCGAATACTTTATTGATGATCAATAGTTCATTTTATTATTTCTTGTTTTTTTTTTCAGCAAATTCGACATCTCATTTCGGAATTACTTTCCCCAATAGCGCAACATCATCAGCAGTCATTTCTTTCTGCTTTGGCACTCGTATGGCTTACACGGAATTCAGTTGCATCTCGTGTTGAATCTGACCAGGTTGCTTTAATCAGTCGTGTAACACTTATGTTTATCTCATCATAACGTTGTTTCAGTTGTCGTTCGATTACTCAGAAGCACAATTGGATATTTCCAAGTTACTGTTGTCCATCGAAGTGCTTCCGTTTGACAATCTAATATCAACAATTTCTGAGACGCTTAAGGAATGCTCAAGTAAGAGTGGGAAACCGACGACGCCAAGTGGTGATAAGGTATGTATGTGATTCTTTGCTAAATTCACCAGCCCGCTAGATCTAGAAGAGTTAGTTCTGTAGCTAAAGAATAGTCTCGTTGAAATATGAACTGCGCGATGTCTGAATATAATGTGTATTTTATTTAAGCAAGGAACGTTCCCAACTGAAGTGTCCTTGTTGGAGATGTTACATGGCTGTGTTCAAGCCACTCCACCAGCTTCATTGCGTAACTGTTGGCCACCTCTGCAAACACTTATCAACGATGCACCTCTTGGCAACTTACCCCCAAAAGCGATCTTCATCTTATTCATGTCAGTCTGTTCAATATTTTTACATCGATCTTTCATATATTTTCTTACAAAATATGTATCGTTTCAGTATTTTGGCTGATTTTGTACGTCGCTTGGGAGCGTGTGCAATAATCGAGGACAAGCAGATGTCACGTGCAGTACAGGATGCATGTCAACGACTAACTGATGCATTGAATGTTATTGTTGGTTGGCAGCTTGAACAAACCACATGGTTGAAGAGAACGCTCGTGGTGAAACACGATTCAGGTGAAATATTCATACTGCTTGCGTGATGTGTTTCGTCAGTCTTAAACGTTTGTTCATTCATTTGATTGCATCATCTCCTGGTTGAGGTCCAAAATCACAAGATACATCTCCGGTGGAGTTCGCAACTGCACCGTCCTCTCTGGCTGCATCTGAGGCAAATTCCTTACGAGGTTCTACCACTTCCTTAGTACAATCCAGGTTGGTATTCATGTATTCAATTTTATTTAGTCGATAGTATTTTTGATTAGCAATAGCAGCAGCAAGCGGTGTCACTTTTACAGGTTAAGTGCTTTCGAGTCGGTGCAAATGACTCCTTCTACAGCGAGTATTTCATCAACTACATTGACGATATCGACAGTAGATAAGAAGAGCAGTTCGAATTTGCGTGCTAGCATCAAAGATACGAACAGTGTTAAACGTGATCCAGCGAATAGTACTCAAGCACTTTTCCTGCTAGCTGAAGTTGGTTTGTACAAGCTTTTTATTCCCTTTGATTAACTCTCTTCATCAAATAAATGTGCGGAATGTTTTCATTGAATTTTTTAGAACTTAGCTGAACTGATTGATTCAATTTGTAAAAGTGAAGATAAAGAGAGGCTTTTACCGACGCTACATGCTGTTTGGAACAATACCCTTCCATATCTGAAGGCTAAGAAGTAAGTGAGGTTTCAGCGCTTTCAAAGACTTTTATGACCAGAAAGCATTCCTAACTTTTGGATGTTGCAGACTTTAAATGTTACGAATAAATCATAAATTTAGAGATTTTTTTTCAATTTATTATTCATCCCAATTCAGTCAATTGATACGAACTAATATAAGTTTGCATTGCAGTGCGCGGAATGCACGTTTTTTCCTAGCAAGCTCGCAGTTTCTTGCCTCGATGAGCACATTCAACTATATGCGACCAGTTTGGCGCAAGGCTACACTCGATCTTCTTCTCGACCCAGGTGATCATTTCCGTCTTTTAAACCGCGATCAAATTAAAACTTTGAAGCATTCTTCTTCAATAGAATAACTTGATGTCACACCGACCACATTCGCATATTTCAGCGTTTTTCAAAATGGATGTGAATTCACTGAAGCAGTGGCTAATCGTAATTGATCACTTGATGATCTATGATAAAACCTCTTTCAAAGAATTACTTGGTATGCTCTTATTACATTATTCTTTTCGAAAGATCACTTCTCGTTTTATTACCCGTCAGACTGTCGTTTATCACGTTAACATGAATTAATTTACTTCCTCATCTATATGATATGATATTCACGTTGATCCGCATCATTTTCACTCTTCTGAAGTAAACGTAAATTTATTCAGCGCGTATATCAACAACCCAAAACTCGGCTCTGTCAAGCTTGATAATAAGTAAAGAGGTCGAATACGAGATGCGTGCACAAGCTCTGAAACGACTCGCTTTCATTGTGCTCAGTTCCGAGCTGGATCAGTATCACGCTCAGTTGCCAGATATTCAAGGTGCTTCCCATCTGTTCTCAGTCGTTTCTTCTCACTGCCAAATATCATATCATAGGAAGTGTATTTATAATGCTTTTCAGAACGACTTTCGGACAATCTGCGTCTTTCACAAGTACCGAACTTGCATGCACAAGTGTTTTTATGCTATCGTGTTCTACTGTTACGACTCAAACCGAATCATCTTGTTAGTATGTGGCCATCAATGGTCACCGAATTGGTTTGTTCGATCTTAATTTGAATTCGCAATCCACTGTGATGACGGTTCAACTGAAACTTACATAACTATCCAGGTTCATGTGTTGCTACAAATAGAACAACAATTAACTGGTACAACGAGCGTATCGGATGATTTGAAGTGTGATCGTAACGATCATTGGATGCAACTCTATCTGGCCGCATGCAAACTGCTTGAAACACTCTGCACGCTACCATCTGGCTACCTGGCGCAATTTCAAATGTGAGAAGTTGTTGATTTCAGAGATGGGCAGTAACGCTACGCAGCGAAATAAGTGCTCTACTGCCCATCTCGGGTTGAATCTATTCAGTTGAACTCGCAACGCATATTTTTTGATGTGACCATTCACGATTGACATTCAACGCTAACAAAACTTGCAGGTGTCATTGGGCGTTTGTGAATTCAGTCGCGGCGAGCAATACAGATTCATTTGTGCCATTCGCTGAGCGCATTTATCAATTGCTTCGCTCTAAAGTAGGCTGCTCTATTTCTATACTTATGTTTTAGATGATGTAATATCTCAGGCGAAATAAATATACGACATTTCATTTTGGTAGACACTCTTTGTTTGGTTTTCAGTATGGTCAGTTAACTCCGACTGAACGCAGTTTAATGTCGGCATCACTCGTGAGTGTCAAGACGCTAACAAGTTTCAGTGAATTGCGACCGTTTTTTCGTACTCTTGCCACACAAAATAAATCACTTTCGATTAGTGGTCTACCGAATGATAAGGTTTGTCTGTTATTTTCAATATACATGTTTTGCTGTTCGCTTTTGCATAGTGGTCATAATATTGAGGACACTAAAAAACAAACAATTATAGTCATTGTTGCAGGATGAGTTACTACGGGATGCGTGCTATATGAATGGTTCTTTATCGTATAAGAATGCGATTAAACGACTCGAACATGCTCTTTATGTAGATTTTGCCGAACATTGGCAGCTGTAGGTAATAGCGATATGTATCACCTGTGAGCTGTTGATACTGCATTCAATACCATCTGTTCTTTATTACCTACTTGGAACACTCCAGCTTATTATTATAATATCACTCTTGCAGTATTCATTGTAAAACTACTATTTGCTGTATTTCGTAGTTTGTCGTTTTCGAGAAGCAACTACTACGACATTGTCTATTGTGTGAATGATGTGTCTGGAATGAAACATTGTGCAAAGGCGCAAAATCAACAAATTTCAATTCGGAAATACTCCATCCATTCTCGTGTGAATTTTATTGACGAATGTTTCATTGAAGCAGTTGCAGAAACGCAACCGAAAGTATTCTGGCTGTTCGTTGTATGTTGCCAGTGTTGCAAACGAAAAAGTGACAGTCGTATCTCGATACGTATTCTTGCTATTCTCTTCATTTGTTGCTTGATCTTCTTGTATTTTCGTCATCATCATCACAGTTTGCTTTTGATACTTCTCGAGTAAATTTTATGTTTATTTTAGTCTTTCTTTTACGTAGTTGTTTTGCGGGGTTTTCCTTTTGTGGGTTGCTTCATTTTTCATTTATCTCCAATCAGTTCTCCGCGCAGCAAATTATGAGTTGTGTGATTTGTGTTCATCACTTTTCCATCATTACATACATATATATATATATATTACATGTTCATATGTTCGTTCATTTTTGGAAAAATTGAAAAATTCTCAAGAAATTATTTTCTTTTGAAAAATTGATTTTTTTCGTTGAGTGTGTGATTCTTTTGATACCTGGCCAACCGTATGACGTTTTCTGTGCAGTCCAAGCCTCTGAGTAATTTTTTGAACGTTTTTTCGCCACATCTTAAGTGTGTGGTGTTCTGTTGAAGTTAATGGATTATTGCGACAGAGTCTACTGTTGCTGCTGCTGCTAAAGTCAGCATAATTTATTTTTTCCAAAATAAAAAACGGTTTCTCGTACTTTCACAGTCAAATATATCCGTTTATGTCGATCGTTGTTAATTGTGTTATACCGAGAAGATATTCTTTTTCTTTGATTGATTGATCGTATTTCAACGCTGTTTGTGATCATTACGCTGCTTAATATGTGATTCGTTGATTCTTCTTGTAAAAATAACAAAAGTACATGTCTCCTCTGTTCACATAGTTTTTTTTTGGTCGCTGTTTTGCACTTGATTGTATAAACGTTTCAGATGTGTTCGTTTATCTCAGATTCTCGTCTCAAGTTCCTGTTGCTGCTGCTGCTAGTTTACTCGGCCTAATGTAGATACTTTTTTAAATTTATGGAATCGCTAACAGCTTATTCGAGCGCCAAACATATTTTTACAAGTTTCGATAGGATCTTCATCCGAAAATTGTGCAACATGAACGAATAAGGTTGAGGAACTGGTTGGAAATTGTTAAGGAATTGATGGTGATGATACAATCCCTGTTTGGATAAGATCGTGACTTGATGGATTAGTTATTTGTGGGTAATTGTGTTTTTCTTTGAATGTTTACGGTAGACAGATAGTTGTTTTTTGAGAGAGAGGATAATGATAGGATGAAAGTGTAGTGCTGAAATGGTAGTATGAATTTAACGTTTTTGCAATCAACTGAGGGAGGGAGAAATAAGGAGAATGGATATGAATGAACGAGTTGTTATTAAATGTGAACATTTCGAAAAAAAAAAGACCAGTGAATTGCTAAGCGTGGGAATGAATAAGAGTTTTGTAAAGAAGATACGAAGGTTTCTTAATGAGAAGGCGGCCTGGTTTCACTTCAAAAGAGAAAAGAACACTACCACTACTCATTGACACTTATTTGCATTTATCTTCAAGCCTTACTCTCTCTTCATTGAGCATTTTAATCACCTTTCAACAACATCTCAATTTTTCACTATCTTCGTAGTGGTATTTCTAAAATCATCGTTCTTCTCCGCAAAAAAACAAAAAACAAGTGACTCATTTAGATTCGATTCGTATTTTATCATCACTCCTTATTGCTTCATTTCTTATCGACAAATGTGACATTTCTTGCATTATTTCATTTTGTGTTCAACCAATCCAGCCGAAACTCTTACGAGTAGAATTACAAAAACAAGAAATGCACTTGGCTGCTTACTGCTGCAACGGTCATTGGTAGCAGTAGCGCAGCAACAAGCCGATCCTCTATTTTCCTGTGCTAAAAGTATGCAAAGCCATCAGTCAGTTACTACTAAAAAAATTTTAAGGATGGCTCCTTAAAATAATTATCGTTCACAAGTGTTCAACAAAAACGGATTGTAGTAATCCATTGAAGAAGTCAAGCTTGGGTACGCCTCATACGATCACTACCAATTAAAAGTCTATATTGTTGATGGATCAACACACCTAAACTTTCTCGAAATGTGTCGATAATTTAAATCCGATTGCCGCCAAAATGTCAATCTGAGCATTCATGCTCCGTCGATTAATTCTGTTAATTGCTAATCATATTAATACTGTACGTCGGGGCGGCACACGAATGTCGAAACGCAATGCTGAAGTTGTCAATCAATCGTCTCAAACTGTGCCATTAGGTAGTGCATAATGATGACTGATAATATTGCCATTCATTTTGATTATGAACGTAAATTGAAAATTGGGCGAATAAACAGTAGGTATATCATATCGATTGCTAAACAATCGCATCTCAGACCATACACTTCATCATCAAATCCTACGAGAATTGTAAAACATTTAAAGGCCAGATTTCCGATACAATATACATTTGATGCATTTATAAGACACAACATTATTGTTTCAAAACTTTGTTGCCGTTCAATTCTGGTGCTTGTTGTTCAACTGAGATAGTAGATTGTGCTGATACTGCTGCGATTCTAAGAGGAATGTGTTGTTTACTCATCATGCAATCACTATTAAGGCAATCGCAGTGCTATAATCGTTACTCAGTGAAATACGATCTGATCTATCCGAAAATTAGCTGCGGAAATTATTTATGAACTCGGTGACGATAATCAGCAGTTCGATTGCGCAATTCGAAATCATATTTCAGTCAAGTCGACAACGATTAACTTAGCAGAACACATAAATACTTCAACATCAAGACTGAAGCGTTTGAATTCATCAGTTTTTGTGTCAATTGTTCTCAGGTACGCAGAAGAATGAGCCTGTGTCAAAATAACTGACCGAGTGAATGGTAAATGAGGAAGTAACAACAATCCAATTAGACCCACTCAGATGCTAGCAGCCTCACATATTGCGGTAGCAATAACAATGCTTATCACCTACAATATCTCTCCCTGTTCTGCATCAAACACTCGAAATAATCTCTTTCACAATTCACATTTTTTAATGTATACATAAAATTACATCATGAAATTATTCTGAAATTCAGCTATGACACTTCAAATGTCATCACTGCTCTGTTGAGATGATAAATAGTAACTTATTCGATGGCATACGAGTGAAGAACCGTTCTTTTGAGTCGAATGAACAATTGTTCACTTGCATGACGATGTTGTCGCCGAAGTTAGTGCTTTCGATTATCGTTGAAAATAAGTTTACTTTTAAGGTGAACAATGTGATCGGATCAAGCAGGAACGTGAATGAATGATGGTATTACAAGTGGGAAGCAGTATTTCCACCATGTGGGAAAACATATGTTGAATATATCTGATCAAACATTTGATATACTGACTCTAAATGAGACCAACGAATTAGAGTTGACATCTGCACAATGTCCGTCCGTATCTATTCTAAGCAATAATTCATCAGGATGGAACAGCACTCAATACCGTGTGAAGTCCATAAACTCGAGAGGGCATTCATCCGTTCGCCCAAATGTTTCATCTTTATACTATCCTTTCCCAGCCACTTCTTCAAAAATTAGTCATCAAGACTGCTTTCTGTTCCTGATAACTAATCCCTCCACCAACGGTTGATCGTTTCAATACTAAAATTCCTTTCTTCTCACTCACATCACTATCAACCGATTTGTCCATTGTAATGATGAAAGTAAATATAATATCTATCTGATGTGAATAATAACTTCCTGAATTTGTTTATACGAATCGTTCCGCAACACATCCAACAATCCAGCCAACTAATCGAATTCGTTCTAGTTTCCTAATATGAGTTGAATAATTTCAAATCAAACTGCTCGTATACAAATTGCTAAAAACATCAGATTATTCAGACGATACTATCACCACAAACTATTTTTCATTCAAAGAAAGGATGCACACTGAATGAAAAACAACCAAATGCTACCGTACTGTTTGGATAGTGCGTGCGAAACTGTGCTCAAATGAACGAAGCACGAAGCACACTTGGAATGTTACCTACAGTTGAAATCAAAACTATAACGTGTGTATTCGTAACCAGGGTCAATGATAAAGAGGAAACAAACATTCGTTGCATTTCCGTCACTATCTTCTTATGCTCGTTGCAGATGATTACTATGTGCCTTATAAATACAGCCCTATTGCTGGCTTATTATCGGATTACATTCTTGGCAATTACTGCGTACTTTTCACTGGATGTATTCAATCACCTCATAACTAACTGCGACCGATACAATTTTTTTGATGCACACAAATGGAAAAGTACATCAATGCTGCTTGATCAACAGTGATAAATTCCTAAGAAGTAATCGAGGTCGAATGATTTCAAAACAAACCATTATGCATCATCACTTACAAGCATTCGACAATGCGCACAGAAAATGAGTGCGTTAGTTGTTGCTAAAATGACTGACTGATGCAATGTTAATGAATTATCAACGGCTATGGGAAATGTTGTGATATTTTCGTGTGTTCCATTTCGTTTCAATCATTTCTGGGAGCACTTATAGAGCTTAGTTGATGATAAGGAAGCAGTGTACATGTTTATTGAAGCATTTAGTTATTCATTGGCATATCCTCAAAGGATAGAATTTGCATGATTAGGCACATTCATTTGCAAGATCTTATGTTCGTTCGTTCCATAAGTGAATGAATCTTTGTTGAAACCTTTACTCATCATCTGATAACCATTGTTTCAAAAAATTTTAAAATTTAACGCTTTCCTAGAACTGAAAAAAATGTTCATCGCTACAATAAGTTGAGAGTGTTTTGTTACGACAAAACTTATTTCATATGAAACGTATTGAGTGAATAAAAAAAGATAAGTAGTAATGAATATTTAATTTATTATTATTATCATCAGTAAATGTATTCAGTTTATAAAGGTACAGTAAAATATGGTAATCTCATAAAAGCAACAAAAACACAAACGAACAAACACAGTATTGTAAGTTAATGCAACAATTACTCTATCGGTATTCAGAAGGTTCAACAGATGATCTACTGCATCTCAGAAGTGATCGCTAACCCATTAATCAGATGTTAACGAACCAATATCAACAGTAACGTTTATTTTATATACAATCAGCATTTGTGACTGACTGACCCATAACAGAATTGTTACCGAAAATTACTCTCAAATTTGGCTTCAAATATTTTGAAGATAAAATGTGCAACACATAAAAACATGGCTTGTAACAAGTGCAGTATTCCTGATGTTATCCATAGAAATGATACTCATTCCATGAATCAATCCTTTCAAACAACTCTTATGCACATACCTAGTGCATAATTCGGTTCAGCACAAACTGCAACTCGCAATTCCCAAAATAGCAGCCAGCCTCACAATCAGTTAGTTAGCGATAATCATTCAGTGCTCATCGTTCTTTTAAATACAGTACCTGTGAAATGAGCTAGTCAAAGGGAGAGAGGGATTGAAGGGTACGAGTGCAAACTGCTACCGAGTGTTCATTAAAAGGTTTGTGGAAAAGAATGAAAGTGTTAAAGGAGATAGCAGTGTATAAAGGATTCAGAATTTTGAGATGGTTAAATGGACATTCAATCATTAATTAATGAGAATTAAACACTGCAATGCTGGATGATCGGTAACAAATTACTTATAACTTTATAAACAAGTCGAAATCACTCACACAAAAATGATCTATTCCAGTTAATAACGAACGACACATCGAAACAGATACATACACATTGAGAACCAAAACACAGGAAGAGATGAGGAAAACAACATACCAATTTCCTCAAGATTACAATATTATCATGTTATTAATTAATATATAAAACGAAACTGAACGTGCTAATAATAATAATAATAATAATAATAATAATAATAATAATAATAATGCATTTATATATTATGCAATCAACAGAGATGAATCAAATCAAAAAGAAGAGTCACCTCCTCATTACGAATGAAACCAAATGCGTAAATCAACAAAATAAAGTACAATGGTATGTATCGACCGGGTTAAATGCTGCATTTAACTATTTCCAAGAACAAATCAACTATTCTTCCACAGATGTGATAATATACAAATGATTATCCACAGTGCACAAATTAGTATTAATTAAACACTTATCTCTTACATTCAACTACGAGTAGGTAACACAATAAGATGTTTATCATGTATATTATTTCAATAATAAAGCAAAAACTCTTCACAGTGACGACTATACAAGTGTGTATTTGCATCACAAAATACGCATCTCTAATTTGTTTCATAAAGTCATCCTTAATTTAAATCTCACACAGATGAGGTCATCAATGAAAACGAGAAACAAAAAGTAACATAAAGAAAACTCTTCAACATAATACCGGCATGTATCGGTTTACATGCAATTCAGAAAAGACGACTTCTCATTATCGTAATACGAGCGAGATATTTATGGCTTTAATAGAAGAGAATTTGACACAAATAAGCAAACAACAAAGAGATTCAATGATAATAATATTATTAGTAAAAGATGAAAACCGATGACAATCCAAAGAAATTACGATGATGGATTCCTGTGACAGGAGAACCAACATTTGAGAAGTGCAAAGTTTTGGGTTGCATCGACAATTCCAAGCAATCCTACTTATATCTATAATTTCTTATCTTCAACTGCAACTTTAACATTCCTTCATTCCGTAACTTCGAATGCAACACTTCCGCCCAATCAAAAATCACGAAATATATGACCATCGGCTAAACTACCGGAATAAATACGATAAAACATAGCCCGATGAGAACAATTCCAAGGTTTTCGGGATCAATTCGAAACTAAGATTTAAACATAACAATAATAAACAACGACAGATAGATAGATCATCCTTTGGAATATGAACAGAGAGTGATAAATATAAGGAGTGCTATAGAATCTACAAGAAGATTTGTTATATGATATCTAAAGGGGTTGCATATGTGAGGAGATGAGAGCAGTTGAATTAGATTTGAAAAGGGTCGTAGTTGGTAGGTGCACCAACAGCTGTCGCTACAGAAGTGGTCCAGAAGTCGGTACCCATTGACGGCCACATACCGTTATTGGCCGCACTGACGGCCACTGAAAAATGAAAGTCATTTATGGAAGGAAGCAGATCGTTTGATTCACTCTGACTCAGCGTTAAACATTCAGCGGCATCTACAGAATCCGAAATGATGATCCGTGTGCCTGGCCCTCCTGATGCTCCCCGTCCAGCTGCAGTCGTATAAAATGGCACTGGTAAAGATGGAGTTATAGTACTTTCGGTGCTCGATGCAACAATCGAGGTGCCCACGGCTGCACTAGCATCTAGATCGAGCGTCGATGTAACACTTCCATAACCACTCGACGATCCACTCGACAACGAACGTAATTCATCCTTTAATTAGAAGCATCTTTCATCTCATCACTCATTACTTCGCTATTTTATAGTCCATTGATTTTATAATGAGAAGGAATAAGATAAGCAAAATACAGTGTGACTGCAAATAAGACAACTACTTAATTAAGGGCTAGTTTACGTACCTGATCAAGCATACTAGCATTAATCGGTGGTGCATTTGATGTACCGGCTGGAGATCTATTAGTAGATGCAGCTTGCTGATAATACGGTAAATGGCTGTTGTTCGCTATCGACGATGCATATGAAGAAGTGCTACTGCTCACATCACTTCCATGAACACTCTACAAATCACAGTTTGGCTAGAATACAAATGAGCAGCGATTAAATGAAATCATTTGAGAACATCAACGAACTATTCTATTCGAAGCCATCAGCAGTTGTGTGGGAGGTGATGAGGTTGCGGCAGCAGCAACAACACTAGAGTAAGAGTTGGTTGAACAGCTTGAATGCTGTGCTGGTAACGAATAGAAATCATCATAAAATCCACTTTCCGGTGTCAACGGTCCGTGTGTAAATTCATTCGGTGATGGATAAGAAGACGGCTGTTGTTGTTGATGAGCATGAGCGTGAACGAATCGCTCCTTAAAAATCAATCAAGCAACTGATTGCACCTCACATTTCATATCAACTAATCATCTTTTCGTCTCCTTCAAAAATTGCAAACAAAATAATAGTTTTATGATTAGTCTTATTATAAATCCTCAGCGAAACAATTATTAATCAATCAGTCAATCAATCGATCGAACCGAACCAAATCCAACCTGTTTGATAGCGATACTCGGAGGAGTTTTCATATCATCATTGATCGCATTCATATAACGAACACCATCATGATCAATTTTCATTGATTTGCCCAGAAAATGATGATGATGATGACTATGAGTTGGCAATGCTACTGTCGCCACGGCCGATGCTGCTGCTTGTTGTGCAGTCGTTTCGGCCGATTGTGCATTCAAACTGATCAGTCCAATCATCGTATTATGTGGTCTTCAATTATAACATGATTATCCTTTAAAAACTTTTACTGGTTGACCACATAGGATTGCGAATTGCATGTGCCTATGTCGAATGGAACGAAACAACGAACCGTTTTTGTGATTTGTTACGCATTGTGGCAATACCCGCTGCATTTGATTCAGATGCCATGATCATATTGCTTTGCTGCTGCTGTTGCTGCTGCTGCTGCTGTGCATCAACACCTTTTTTTGGTTTCTTTCTTGGTTTATACTTGTAATCGGGATATTCTTGCATATGCATCAAACGCAAGCGCTCTGCCTCGGCCACGAATGGTGCCTTCTCATCCTCACTTAGTTGTCGCCAACGCTGACCCAACTAACAATAATCGTTCACTATTAATATTACTGATAACTGCTTAAATGAATGTATAATCGGTCTGACTGAGGTAATTCATATGCAACACATATTTGCTACGAGCAGGACTACCAATAAATGCATAGCAGTCAACCTGTTTACTGATTTCGGCATTGTGCATATCCGGTTGATGCTCACAGATCTTGCGTCGTTCAAGTTGTGACCAAACCATGAAAGCATTCATCGGTCGTTTGATGTGATTGCTTGATTTTTTGCAATTCGTTGCATCCGTATATGGTGTAACACTGTTTTTCGCAACCTACAAGCAACTCGATTGTGCGCTATGTGCATATCGATAAGAAACATATTAATAGAAGTTCAGTGTCATCTTCAACATTTTGATAAAATCCAAATCCTACTTTTAATGAACCAAAATGTTCAGTTGGGTCCCAGTTGGTGGTTGAGAGCGATGCAGAATGCTGCATTTGTTGCTGTTGTTGTGATTGTAAAGCGTGTTGATAATGATGGTTATTCGATTGTTGCAACATATCTATTGAAGAGAGCTGCTAAAATCATTGGAGTTTGTTTCATTTTAAGGTTCGATGTCGTTTGCTACATTTAGATGGTGATGCTTCAACGTTTTTGCAGAAAACTGACTTTAAGCAACTAATTCATTTTTTTTAGCAAATAATAGTAAAGATAACGGCAAAAAAGTCGATGATTAATGAAACGCAAGAATTAATTAACGTACGGGTGCTTGTGTGATTTGTACTGAAGAGCCGAGATCAATTTCAGTTTTGATTGGAAGAAATGTCATTGTCGAAGAGGGTTTATCCATTATCAAACCACCTGATGACATCGTTTTAGAAGGAACACTTAACTAATTATGATAGATATAACACACACTATCCGTTCGTATGATCAATTACGAATAAGCAGCAGCAGCGTTGAAAATGTGTTAAATAACGTTCAGAATATGTAATATGTGAATACTTCCTCAACAGTGACGATTTTGAATGCAATTTTCACTTAAATATATCATCGTATATTTGAATGTAATCAGAATATGTATTCGGATAGCGTCAAGAAATACATTTCGATAGAACATATTTAAAATACGACGTAAGCAGTGAGAAATCAACCGAGAATGCATATTATAAAAAGTGAGGATTAAATGGAACTGTCAACGTAATAGTTATCGCTACCGCGAAAACAAATACTGTAAAGCATCGTTTACAGACTGTTGCAAACTGCATTCAATGATAGAATCAAAGCATTTCATCTCATTCGAGACCTTCACATGACCAGATGAAAAATTAAGTGACTCAACGAATCAGCCAAATGATGCACGCAAAACGCTTCTTTGGAGGGAAACATTAATTTAATGGCACACACATGTCTGCTGCATACACCGAAACTGTTTCATTCAGAAAGGCAATTTAAAAATAAATCTCAAAAGTATCGCTAGGATCTGAGGTATGACTCAGCGAATGGTGACAATGACAGTTATTATCTGTTCAGGTTTGTTGCAACATCAGCGACAGTCTGAAAACGGACATAAACCATGAAGTGAATAAGTAAATTTTGGTATATTCGAATCATGAGTGAATAAAGTATCTCTACTTGTTAACAATCAGCTTTATAACCACAACAAGCACAAGTAAGTTCGATTGTAAACGAACAACACTTTGAACGAGTAACTGATAACTAAGTAACAAGTGTCATCAATCATATGATCATACAATCAAATACGTAGATACATGATCATATCGCACTTATCAGATTTAACAACACCATTAAACAATTGCTGCTGATATGTGAAAAAATAAAGTGCGTTTTGTTATCAATTGATTGCTAATTAATGGAATGAAAAAAATGAAAAGCAAGAGGAGTTGAAGAAGAACGACTGATGAATGATTGGTGTTAGTTAATTAGAATCGATGATGATGATAAGTTAGATGTTGCAAAAAGTGGCGAATAAATGAACGATGAACAGAAATAGGAAGGATGGTTTTCGGGAAGACAAGGGAAGACGGCTGGTTGGTGGGCATGGATATACAGGTGATTAGGGCATAACATGTTGATGATGTGATCGGATAGAATGACCGGGTCAGTTCAATAAATGCACACAGAAGATATAAATGAAATAAGAAGATGGAATACGGCTGACTGCTCGACAGACAGTCACATATAACCGGTAGGGTCATTTAAACAGTCTATTGCTGCTCGTGTCTCATCTCATCTTATAAATTCTTTTAGTTGATCATCGAATTTTCGCACATGACATAAAACAGCATAAATATATGATTAATTAATACTTATTTCTCAATATAAGTTTGCATTTCTTCCACTCATTCCACCACAGTTGCGATCAACGAAATGACGACAGTGGAAGCAGTTACAAAAACATTCGAATGACAGCGACATGAAAAGCGACAGGTAGGGAGGACCACATGACGACACTGGGTAAGCTTATCATAGGATTGATTCATTTATGATGAGTAGAATAGATTGAAGTGCGAATGGAGATTTGAACTGAATTTAATGAAGAGGATTTTGTTTTTGTGAATATCAGATGAGTAAGATAAGTTGCAGAACTAGCAACTTATCGGCAGTTAGGTGGATTGGAATGATGGATAGATGTATGAATGAAGGAAGCGTTGATCCATTCGCTGAAAACAACAACTCCTCTTGCAATCAGTATCCACCAGATTGATCCATATCCGAGCAGATAGATAGATGATCGGGTGACTGGGTGTCCCCAATATCCTTGCGTTCTTCTCTTTGCAATTAGTGATTACGCCATCACCTATCTAGGTGCATTATTATCATATCACCATCATCTCATCTAATTTGCATTATTCAATCAAATTCTACGACCACACACACCGTTTCCATAGGCTCACGCAAAAATGGCAACAAGGTCATTAAGAAATATTAACAACTTAATTAGCTGTTATGTAATGTTGCGGGGATCGGCAACTACATTCCCGATTTCCAGTCTCCGACTTTTTTCGAGCCGAACGCATTTTCAAGGTCCTCAACTGCTAAATTTCATTCCCGATTTCCCCGCAACACACTGCTATCAAGAATATCATCAATTTCTAATTCTTTCAACCATGGCGACACAAAAAACGACTGTGAACGGCGAATCGACAGCTGCACAATTGTTTCATGTAATCAATGATAGGGGACTTTTGAAAAAAGGTCGCACCGACTCAGTGAAAACGACGCCACTATAAATTTCTGAGCTTCTCATGCTCACTACTGACAAGCTTGCTCATTTCTCACAACAAAAAAAGAAATTTGCATTTGCCCGCCGACTGCTTATACTCGTGAGCAAGAATCGCTCATTAGCTCACGCTCATCTTTTGTTTGCATGTCGTGAGTCCCCCATCACTGCATACAGCTGACCGTCACTATTCTATCACTTAAATTCAGTGCTACTGCATTGACAAGTTGAGAAAAACAAATATAGGTCATTAATTAATCACGACGAAAGTATGAATAAGTAACATCCTATTAACTGAAATTCAGAGCATTTGCGGCTGCTTAGCGAAAAGCGTTGCTCTCGCGAGATAAATAAACACGAGAAAATAATGGAGGAATGAAGTGATAAAGATAAAATTGATGACAACAGAGAAGATTAATTAAGAGAAAGTAAGATAACAAATGTAAATCTGATGATGAGTGATGAACAAGAATCAATGTTGATACGTTCATGTGAATAGACGAATCATAATCTGAATCTAATTTCATAAGCCAACCGCCCGCTCGTCCAGTCGGTCGGTCGGTAGGTTGATCACTACTAACCAGAACAAGATCTTTCATAATCATCAAATAATAATAATAATATCAATATTGTTCACTTCGTAAAAATTTATCTGAATTGGCTATGATCAACTGCATAGACAACATCTTTCCACTGACCATTTCATTTTTTCGTTTTCAACATTTACGATCAATCATAAAATACGAGAAAGAACTTTATAAAATATACACTCATTTCATCGAACGCTGCTTGATTATGCCTAACATGCGCTCGTTTCACGAAACAAATCAACAATCTCCAAATATATATATATATATATATATA